GTTTTTCCCCCAGGGGGGGGGGGGGGGGGAATAACAGGCCCCTGCAGCTGAGCTATCTGGCCAGCCAGCAAGGCTACCTGTTATGCCAATTGGGCATTCTCAGCACGGAGTTGCTCCATAATGGCTTAGATTTGATTGTTTTGATTGACAAAAACTGTTCTGATCCCCCCTCTGGCCTGTGATTAACGCAGACACAGGCTTGGCTATTTGCCACTCTTTAATCACAGGAATTACAACTCCGTTGGCTGAAAGCCCAGACAACACTCTCATGCAAGAACCAAACAGAACGGAAATACAAAACAGACCAGACAAGAGTTCCTCAAGACTGTTATGAACAGTTTTGTCCTGCAAAAGGACCCTCCCAATTTCTCACTTATATACTGTCTTGGGAGGGGCCAAGCCACAACCACCTGGGCTTGATTATCTCTTATGAGTCTGCCTCGTGAGCTGCTGCTTCCGTTTCTCTGCCCTCCTTTGCCTGGCATCAGGAATAAACTGCCTTTGATCTTTCCCACTGCTCGATGCCTCAGGCACCTCCTGGTGGCCAACCAGCCTCTCTGGTCCCTGCTCTGAGTCTGAACCCAGGGTCCTTCACATCTTCCATAGCAGACTCATATGGTTCCTCGCTATCCGAGTCCATCAGCAGCACAAACAGATCCTACTGTGTGTGTGTGAATATATATAAGAATTGCCCTTTAAATTCTAAGAATATTTTGCCTTTTGCCATTGACAAGTTCAATGAAATAGGACATGGTTTTACTTTTTAAGCACTAAATGCTCTCTTACCCTAAATATTTCTTGATATTTCATTTTTATTCAGGGAAAAGCTCCACCTGTCATTCAACCCATAAAGGCCAATGAGCTCTGCTTGGGTAACTTACTGAAAAAAGATCTGTCAGCATTTTTTTTTCTGATGTGGCTCCTGGACTTTTCACCCTTCTACAAGATGCAAAATCTCTGCATTAAAGTTTCTCCAGTTACAACACCATCATGCTGAGAAAAAGATTCAGCTTTTGCATTTTTGTTTTCAAAACAGAATAATAAGCTATTTCTCTGATATGCCCTTACCAGCATCTTAGTTTTTTTCTTTTCTTTGCTAGCCGATTTTCTGAACTTCTGGGTCATCTGAAAATACTTTGCTATTGCTATATTTTTTCCCTGTTTAATTTTCCAACAAGGATAATTCAATGACCTTTAAAATTATGAGTAATGTTGATAATCATAGGAAGCCATAAACTGCAGTTTACTACAGTCACAGCTGACACCAGCCAGAGTACAGAACAAGTCAAAAAGGTAATGCAAGATCAGAGACATGGAGAGATCTGGCCCATAGTATCACTAAGAGATGGACATGACTGAATGGATATCATCATCATCACCATCATCATCAAAAGTGTAGAGTAAAAAAGATAATATTGATGGAGATAAGCCAGTTGTATTCCCAGGGGGATATGAGGAGTGCAACAAGTCCAAAGTAATCTGAGAGAAAGATAGCTGAGATAGCAGTATAAAAGTTAAGGGAATAAAGCATAGTGAGACCACAAGACTGATATCAATCTCACTATATATACCAGGCCAAGAAAGTAACTTCAAGTGAAAGCTGAAACTACACGTTAAAACTTCTTTATGAAATTGGCCTTAGTACCAGAATGTTGCAGGTCTGTTTGTGTTGCATGCTCCGGGCTAGATTTGGCTCAAGCTTTATCATCTATAGCAGATGATAAACATTAATTCAACATACTGATTGAGGAATTCTGGGAATTGAAGTCCACATATCTTAAAGTTGCTAAGATTAAGAAACGCTGCTTTATCATGAGAAAGATGTTGGATCACTGTCCAGCTTTAGGAATGATCACTCCTCATCTTATATATAAATAATGCCATACATTACGTTTTTCAGTGACTGTTTTACATCAACTTTATTTAAACTGAGGTTGAAATTCTTATTTCTCAAATATTTGCAATGTAGCAGGCTAGAAGTGATTCCACTTTGGATAGAGGGATAATTGCCATTATCTCTTATTTTGTTACAGACTGATCTGTTTGAGGTCAAATCTCCAAGTTGTTTTCTTAACAACTAGACAACCTGTGCCCTGTTGGGTCATCATTACAGAGACATTTTTTTTTTACCTAAACAGAGAAATAGAATGACAATTGGCCAAAAAGGAAGTTGGAACAGCTTCCAACTTCCTGCCAGCTTTCCCATTAAGTTTGCTTGTGGGAAGCTGGCAGGGGATATCAATAATGTCCCTCCCTCCCTTCCCAGCAAGTAGATAAAGGGCTGCTGCTGGGTGAGGGAACTGGAACAAGGGATTGTGAAACTGGCTGGGAAACTGTAATGGAATGTTGAAAATGAAGATCATGTGACTACAGCAACAGCCAGCTGCACTAAAGCAGTCACAATGTCTTTAATTTCACTCTCTCAGGAGACAGATTTGGGACACTTTGTATAAGTTAGCCTATTTGTAGTAACACGACTCAAAAACTGTTGCCATATGATGCACCATTTTGCCTAGGTAAACGTCATGACAAGAGTTTTAGTAATATATAGATAAGAAGGTAATCTCTAATTCAAAGGCAAACCTATTTACTCTTCATATTTTTGTTTTAAGTCATCCTGTGTCACCTGGGTGCTGTCCTCCTACTATGATATAAACAGATTTTATTTGGTATTAATAATATAATCAGGTATTTTTCTAGGGCTATGGAAATTATGGATGCTTCTAACAGGATCATCCCAGATATAAAAACTTTGGTCATCTTATTTTGCAATGTAGATGTAAAAAGAGCACATCTTCTTTCTACTAATTTGTATAGTGAATAAGACAAATCCTTATGGGAGATGGCACTGAACCAGCAAAGGACAAGAGGTGTTGATATGTTTTATATTATTTTAATATTGCTCTGATGTTGTTTTTTAACTGGGAAAGAAGAGAAGCTCTTGAATTAAATGTGAAAGCATAACAAATGGTGGGATTGGTTAGACTGCAGAACTGGGATTCTGAATTTCACTGGTGGTGGAAAACTGATGTCCTAACTGCCCAGAAGATTCAAAATCCCTATTTTCTGTTTCTGAGCTTTGCAAAGAACTAGCCTCGTTTTATTTCATGGCTCAGAAATGCGGAATGAATTCTGTGACCCTTTGTCACCTCTATTCACAGTGCATCAGGACATATAGAGAGAGAGATGCTGTAAAATGAACACACAGATCTAGCAAACCTCCCATTTTCCTACAATCCTAAAGCAATTCAGGCTAAGGAATAAACTCCAGTGAAACCACTATTGAAAAGACAGAGGTGATCCCAGTGTATCTACCTGAATCTGCTCAATAAACAAGCAGGCTACCAGGAGAGGGTCCTGGGTGATGTGGAAAGGCTTTTGTCTATAATGTCCCACTAGAAATAAACTAATTGATTAAAAGGCAGTCAAGCTGTGACGGGAGGTACTGAGGAGCCCTGAACAAAACAACTCAGGTTGGTTTTGGGGTAGGGAGGCGGTGAGTGCCGTTCAGACATCAAAGCCGAAAACGGTGCCGCAGAGGCGCCAGCCCTCTCACTCGATGCCCGGTCTTGCCAAGGCTGGGGGCTCTACAAAACCGGCGCTCCTGTCTTACGCAGTTCTCGGATCCAGCTCGCCTCACAGGATCGGCTGGCTTATCTTCCAGCTTCAAGACCTTTTCATTGGCGGTCCCAGCTCCGGCATCTCTTCCCACCTTCGCTCCTAGAACAGCGCGGCTCAGAGGGAAAGCAGCGAGGAGGCGCAGGACACCCTCCCGGCGCTGGGCCGGTGGCCAGAAGGCCAGAAGGGCGGACGGAGCGCCGACCGCGAATGGAGACGCGCGATTAGCATTCCGTTCCACGTGTTGCTTGTTGTGGGCGCCACAGGTTTCCCACCTGTGAGTCGCGCCGCTGCTCTCCGCTGGGCGGAGCTGAGCTTCCCTCCCGGCCTCCGAGGGAAGTAGCGACGGGCCGGGCCGGCCGCTGATAGGACCCGGTCGGAGCTGTCCCCAAGCTCGACCCCTTTCGCAAACTCCGCCTTTCTCTTTCGGCGCCACTGCTGGCTGCCTCGTAGGAAATAGTCGGGCGTGGAAGCTCGACGTGTCCGGAAAGGTGTCCGCTGCTTTGGCTCCAGGGCGCGTCAGCTCTTCTCTTTCGTCCTGCCAAAGGTGCGCTCCGCCCGGGCACCATGCTCGACCCGTCCTCCAGCGAGGAAGAGTCCGACGAGGTGCTGGAGGAAGAGAGGCGGGACCTGCTGGGGGTGTCCGGCGGGAGCGGCCCTTCGAACACCTCCCCGCGAGCCCTCCCGGCTGCTAGCCGGGACTCCGGGCGCCAGGGCAGCGGCGGCGGCGTGGCGACCCGGTCGGTGAGCCCCAGCCCATCGCTGCGGAGCGAAGGTAGAGAAGAGCAGGAGCGGCTGCAGAGAGAGGAGAGGGAGAAGCGGCTCCGGCTGCAGCTTTACGTCTTCATCGTCAGGTGCATCGCTTATCCGTTTAACGCCAAACAGCCGACAGACATGGCCCGGCGGCAGCAGAAGGTGAGCCTTGCCCGCCTTGCCTCCCTCCTCTCTTCTCCGCCGCTGGTTTTGCGTCCGATTGGCTTTGTCCCTGCAAGATCACTTACGATCGTTTCCACCTGGGTTTGGGAGGGGGGGTGGAGGTGGAAAAGGAAAGGCAGCCGGTAGCTGACCGGAGAAGGCTGGTTTGTGTCCATTGTTGCGTCGGATTCCCGACCCGGTGGGGGGGAGAGAAGAGGGCAGGTGCAGTTTGTTAACGACGAGTCCGGAAGAATTTTATTTTCAGGAACTTCTAGGGTGGCTGGATCCGGCGATTGGCTCCCGGCGCAGGATCTCTTCCAGTCGTCCTTGTCGCCAAATCCGTTTCCTTGGTCCAAACAAATAGGCGTTGTTTTTTTTTTAAATCCGCGGGTCACTGGCTTCTGAGGAAGCGGAGGAAAGTAAAAATCAGGCTCTCCGCTGGCGGACGGCATTGTTTCTTTTTCTTGCTTCCCGCAACAGGTTGAGTTGCTCTTGATTACTTAAGTAAGCCAGATGTCGCCGCGTTTGCAAAAGAACCCAGGCTAGGCAGTCCCTGTCAGTCGCGGTTGTTTGCGGGGGATAAACAAGCTCTTTCCAGAATAATCTTACATGTTTGGCAGTAAGTCCCATGAGCTCGGTTGACAGGACCAGGATGGAGTGCAGAGGCTTTTTGAGAAAAAAATAACACAAGATTCCTGTTTGGTATGAAGTAGGGAAACTCCAGTTGATGCATGGATCTGCTCAAAAAAAGTACAGTATGCTGGCTGAATGCAATTGTGGGGAAGACTGCAATAGTAGAGATTATGCTCTAGTTCAGTGACCACTTTAAGCCTGGAGGAGTCGAACTGGTCCTCCAGGCTTAAAGTGCCCAAGGTTGGAGACCCCTGCTGGAGTTAACAATCAGGATTGAGAGGCAGTTGGTTCAACCTTCTTGGAATAGAGTTTTCCCTAAAGTAAATTGTGGCAAAAATCCATAATCTAAGAGTAGTAGCTTTCATTTGGCATAGCCACATCTCAAAGTGGCATTGACTGGAATAACTCAGTCCTTTTTTTTTTTTTTTTGCACGGAATTCCTAATTGCTCAGAATTCCTTTCTCCTCCCTGCTTTTCCCACTTTTCTTGAATCAATTTTTTGTAGTGAACACAGTATTTGTCTTCTATTGGGCCAAAGCAATGGAACAGTACTGTTTAGAGCAATAGTAATTTGTTTTAGTTTGGGTACCCTGTGAAACATTTGATCAGTAAAAAAAAGCTTTTAACTTTGTAATGTAATGGAACAAAATTCATATATGGGGAAGAATTTAGAAGGAAAAAATCTTCAAGATGGTGAATTTCTTGATAGCCACGGTAAAAGGGTTCTCTCCCCTCCTTCTCTTTCTCTCTCCCTTTCTCTCTCCCTCTCTCAATATTCTGCTATTTTATTATTTATTGAAGAACAGCAACTAGTGTGTTCTTCAAAACTTTGGAACAGCAACATGATTTTCAAACTCTAATGTAAATTCTGTTGTCTTTGTGTTACCTTCCATTTCATTTCCTCAAAGTAAATTGAATTCTTCTCGCCTTTCAGAAGCTAAATCCCAACATAGCAGCAGGTGAGGTTGTGCAGGGCAGGGGGAGGACATGAAGAAATGAACTTAGAAACATTATGTTTAGATTGATCTTTCACTCTGTATACTTTACATACACCTGCCATTCCTTCTCTGGTATCTCAGAGGGCCTGCTTTATAAGCAAGTCTGGGCAGATGCCACCAGACAAGCTAGACAATATGAAAAAGGGACTTCGCGTAAGAGAGGATGCTGTGCTAGATGAGTGGAGAAATCTATAAATTGTAATCCCAACATTGTAAGGTAGTTTTAAAGTTCATAAAAGTAATCTTTCTCTAGCCTTTGGACTGTGTTATGAACATATCAAAATTACCCCGTGTGTTCTTAACAGATCCAGCAGTCAAATTCTGCCCAGGTATCATTTTTTAAAGAGCTGCCAATCTTTGATTCTAAACCAATATCAAATTCTTTATTTCATGTCAAGTAAATATTAATCTAAGGAAACAGAGAATGACAAAAATAAAATGAACATTTTTAGAAGAAGATAACCCCAAAACTGGTATGCGCACTAATAATCTCCAGGCTTGATTATTGACGTATGCTCTGCTGAAGGCTGTCTTTGTTTCTGGTCTGGAAATTTCAGTTGGAACAAAACTTGACAGCCAGATTGGTCTCAGGAAGAACCCAGAGAGGCCAATAAGGCTAGTGCTTAAAGCTCTACACTGGCTATCAATTCCTTTCTTGGCAAAATACAAAATGCTGATCATTACTTGTAGAGGGAAACCTGGCTTAAACCCAGGCTATTTGCGAATGCTTCCTTCTCTCCGAAACCCGCACATTGACTGTGATCATCTCAAGAGGTTTGTGTATGTGCTGGAGCATATCTGATGGTGGCTGTGGCTGAGTTTTCTGTGTTGCTGCTCTAGCTCTTTGCAGTAGACTCCCTGCAGAGATGAATGATGTGACATCTCAATTTGATTTTTGTTTTTGTTTTTCTTTAAGCCATTCAACTCAGTATGGGTTTTTAAACTGCTGATTTTAAGTTCTAATTTTAAGAATAAACTTGACTTGGTTTTTCAATTTGCTTTTTAAGTTTTATTTAACTGTTTTAAGGATTTTCAGTTATTTTAAAAAAAACAGACTTTGTTAGTCAGTGGTGTAATAAATCAAATAATGCAATTTCATTGTCAAAGTAATTAAAGCTCTCATCTTGTTGGGTGAAAAAACTTCGACACTTTAGCTCAGAATAAATAATACCTGTAATTCAGGAACAATGGCTTTTATATTCCCTAATTAATGAGCTCAAATTTAATAGCCTTGGGCACTTATATTTGTCCTGGCTACATTAATATTTGTCTTGCAATGAAATTATATCTATTAACTGAAACTCATTGTTCAGTTAAAATCTTGCTTAAAGCTAGTACAGGGATGTATATATTTATATTCTTCAGAACCTATTTTCTCAGAACAATTTAAACTCTTTCCTGTTATTCCAGGTGCAGGTTCACTGAATGGGCTTGGGCACTATCGTAACTTTACTGGAATCCAGATCTTTTGCAAGGATAGATAACCACATTATTTAATCATCAAATTTATTTACATGTTGATCTCTCAAAATAATTACTTTGTGTGGCATACAACAAGACTATAAAACAGTTAACATATAAAAACAATTAGTACTTTAAAAAATCACAAAGGTCAAGAGAGGAAACAGATGTTAACAATGATGCAACCACTTCAATACCTCTTGCTCATTCTTAAAGGCCTCCAAGCCTGATGACATCACCAGGTTTTAGGGGTCTTGTGGAAAAATAAAAGAGATAGGCCCTACCTAACATTGGGGAAGTGGGGTAAGGAGATATTCCTTAAGGCGGCATAGAAGGCCTGCCTTGCAGATGAAATTCATAGCATGCTTCTTCTGCCAGATCTGATGGGATGGGGAGATATAATGTGGGAGAGAGATTGTGGCTCAAATAGTGAATGAAGCAGAGATTGCTTGCTAGTATCAAAGAAAAAAAACCTTAGATCTGTTTTGTGAATGCAAAGCCTATTGATATTATGTATTTTGAATTAACAGAGTAGCTTGGAGTTAATCAAATAGCTAACCAGCAGTCTTCCAGGAGGGCATAACACTCCTGCAGTTGTTAAATAAGAAACATTGATTTAAACACCTTTGAATGTGTGTGTGTGTGTGTACACAAAAAAACTTTTTAAAAAATCTGATAAAATTATTTTTTAATCAAACTTATTTTAATAAAATGCTTTTGGAGTAAGATATATCTAAAGATAGATTTCTATTTAAGGTACATAAATAGTTTATTCAGCATGAAATGGAGCTTAGTTATGTAGCATGAGGCTGTATATTCTGCAACATTGGGACTGTCAGAAGAGTAGCAGAGATAACAGTTGCTCTTTAAAAATTATGATTTAGATTGAGTTGATTTAAATTAAGCCTTTTTACTAGTGATTTAAATTGTGATTTAAATTGACTTGATTTAAATCAGATCCACTCTAACAAACAAACAAACAAACAAACAAACACACACACACACACACACACACACACACACACACTTTTACATTACTCCAAATGCCATATGCGGTCTGAGGTCTGCAAACACAACACCTCACACAAAACTACCATCGAGCTGTTATATAAAACACTTGATAGCAGCTTTGGCATACACACACAGAGGTTTTCCTCATTGAATGGTCACTTACACAGCGACTGTTTGAACTTACAATAACACTAAATGAGGGGGACAAGACAGATCCTGATAGTTGCAGCCTTCGCAGCATCCCTGCTGTCAAGTTGTCAAAATTTGGATGCTTGACAGTTGGACTGCAATTACAATGTAGCAATATCCTGCCACCACGGGACTGCCATTTGTGATCTTCATTGCCACTTCTGACAAGCAAAGTCAGTGGGGAAGCCAGCAGGACATTGAAAATGGTGGTCACATGACTATGGAACACTGCAACTTCAGGATTTGCCTGTGAAAAGTCAGAACTGCAGAGGATCTACTAATTCAGCTCTCTTTTGTTCTTCTGCAACATGCTGATTACTTTAATATAAAATGATCTAGTGCATAGCTATATTAGAAGTGATATATTACTTACCTATGGTGCGTGCGTGTGTGTGTGTGTGTGTGTGTGTGTGTAATATTGAAGCATTTCTAATCCTTCAGTCTTTCTCCAATATTATAAATGTTCAGTTTTGCTTAAAATTGAAAGGTGATCCTTGGTCCATCTGTAATAGATGTCCACAGATATGAAAATTGTTTTTTTTATTTCACTTCCGATTAGGTGAGCGATTGATCATGGCATCCTTTTTTTTAAAAACCAACATCAGAATATAGCTGGCCTGATAATGATTTGACCTTCTATTGGGGTATCAGCACTGTACTTCAATTTCTAGTGCTGGAATTGAGGTCTGACCTAGACTCCTTGAATGA